GACTGACTGACTGACTGACTGACTGACTGACAGTATGACTGACTGACTGACTGTGTGACCGACTGTGCGACTGACTGTGTGTGTGTGTGTGTGTGTGTGTGTGTGTGTGTGTGTGTGTGTGTGTGTGTGTGTCTAAGTCTAACATTTGTGCGATCCACAGACCAGGTATGACTCCTCCCCTCTCCCCCCTCAGGGCAGTAAGGAGCGTTACCATTGGCTGGCCCAGAATGTGAAGGTGAGTGGTGTGGACGACATGGTGCTTCTGTCCAAAATCAGCGAGGACGCCATCACAGACAACCTGAAGAAGAGATACATGGACGACTACATCTTTGTATCCTCTGACGTTCTGATCGAATCACTTCAGGTCTTTGATTGGAAATAAAGTTTTCAAATGATTATTACGTGACGGCAGAATGTGAGATAAATGACACCTTCTGGTTCTGGTCCTTGACCTGGTGTCAGACCTACATCGGTCCAGTTCTGATCTCAGTGAATCCGTTCAAACAGCTTCCATATTTCACTGAGAGGGAGGTGGAGCTGTACCAGGGAGCGGTAAGATAACCACTCACAAATGTCTGAATTTATGACATCATTAACCATCCTCATCCCCCCACCCTCCAGGCCCAGTATGAAAACCCCCCCCACATCTACGCACTGGCAGACAACATGTACAGAAACATGATGATTGACAACGAGAACCAGTGCGTCATCATCAGGTAATAAACACACGCTTCAGCAGACACGTAACAAACATACATAAAGTCATGTCTTAAAGGGTCAGGTGATGTATGAAGTATAACATCACACACACACAGACACACACACAGACACAAACGTGATCACACACGTGTGTAGAGGAGCTGGTTCAGTGATGAATGATGGAGACTGTGGTGATCATCTCTGTGAAACAAGCACAAAGTCAAACACTTGCTTCTGTGAGTTTAATTCAGCGTCTGCAGATGGACTCAGTACAATCACCTGAAGGACATGTCCACATGAGCACAGAACGTAGGATCATCTGTGTTCTCATACTCACAGCCCCCTCCCACTAAGCATGCAAAGGTATTTATTACCCTCCTGTAGTTTCAATCAGTGGAGGAGACATCCTGTCCTTATGTGTTCACACGTTCTGTGGACGACCCCTCTGTGAGACCCCGGGTGTTTGATCCCAACCAGAGATACCAAGAGATGCCCTTTTAGATAAACCATTCGGTCAGTCCTCCACATACACATCTGCTCATGCAGTAATACCTACACAAAAGACACATTTCCAATGCAAGACACAGAGGAGCAGTAAATTACTGACAGAGACGCTAACAACTATAAAAAATATTTGACGTCCAAACATGAAAAGACCTGAAGTGATCACTGTAAGCAGATTATCTAAATGCAACGATTCTGTCCCTTGATCTCTACATACGGTTGATTCCACTGTAGCTTGTATGTTGTAGTACAGGCAGGCCGCACCCGTGTCAGTGTCGATCAGGGGCGGGGCATCATTAAGGTGGGTCAACATTGTGATGGCTGTCGGCCAATGGCATCGTCCATGAGCCTCTGGACACTGGGGGTACTATGGGATTATGGGGTGGCAGGTGGTCCTTGTATAAGCAAAGTGAGAGCTTTGTCTCTATCGTCTCCATTAAGTCAAACTGGTGGGTGTTGGACTTCACCAGGTTTGTCACCAATTCTGCTCATGATTTGCATATCCAGGATTTCAAGGCACAGCCGTGGTGAGGTGTCCTATTTGGGAACCTCAGAACTGCATCCTCTCTTTTTCCAGATGATGAGGTTCTGTTGGCTTCATCGCACTGTGACCTCTGGGGCAGACGGGGGAGGTTTGCTGTCGAGTTTAAGTATCTTGTGGTCTTACTCTCGAGTGAGGAGAAGACGGAGCGGCAGATAGAGAGTTGGATTTGTGCAGCATCAGCCGTAATGTGGGTGTCGTACAACGCTGCTGTGGTGAACAGGGAGCCGAGCCACAAGGCAGAGATAGGGGGACCTCGGAGGAGAGTCAGCTGAGGTAGTTCAGGAACATGGTCCCCTCCCGCCTTTCATTGGAAGTTCATCGGAAACGTCCAACTGAGAAGAACCCAGGGCTCGACCCATAACGTACTTTTTGAATCTTTGTTGTTTGAATCTTTGTTGTCTCAGCGGTGAGAGTGGAGCTGGAAAAACTGTTGCTGCCAAATATATTATGAGCTACGTGTCCAAAGTGTCTGGAGGAGGAGACAAAGTACAGGTCAGTACACAATATTTCTCAGACTACTAGTCAAAGTACAGATTAGAGTATTGATTAGTACACAGTACAGTGTTTTACTTGCTGCTGATGAACATGTGACTGTGTGTGTAGCATGTTAAAGACATCATCCTGCAGTCCAACCCTCTGCTGGAGGCCTTCGGTAATGCCAAGACTGTCCGCAACAACAACTCCAGCAGATTTGTGAGTAAATGTATAAATGTCCACACAAACAGATGTGAACAGAAACAGATGTTTACAGAAACAGATGTGTCTCCTCCTCTCAGGGTAAATACTTTGAGATCCAGTTTAGTCAGGGCGGAGCTCCTGATGGAGGAAAAATCTCCAACTTCTTGTTGGAGAAAAGTCGAGTTGTTTCACAGAATGAAGGAGAAAGAAACTTTCACATCTACTACCAGGTACTACAACACGTACTACATTTGCTACTACATGTGCTACAACATGTGCTACAACATGTGCTACAACATGTACTACAACATGTGCTACAATATTTTCTAATACATGTGCTACAACATGTGCTACAACATGTGCTACAACATTTTATATAACATGTGCTACAACATTTTCTACAACATGTGCTACAACATGTACTACAACATGTACTACATGTGCTACAACATTTGCTACAACATGTACTACAACATGTACTGCAACATGTGCTACAACATGTACTGCAACATGTGCTACAACATGTACTGCAACATGTGCTACAACATGTACTGCAACATGTGCTACAACATTTTCTACAACATTTTCTACAACATGTGCTACAACATGTACTGCAACATGTGCTACAACATGTGCTACAACATGTGCTACAACATGT